ATTTGTCTCGTGAGATATGGATCAAACTAATGAAATCGTGTATCTTCAAATGTATTGGCGAATCAATGGTTTTGCAGAGGAGAACAAATAATGCCATTTTATTGGTCCGTTACACAATGTTAAAGGATCGGTTACTATCTGGGCCAAAGCACTGAACTGAATGAGCTCTCTCTGTCTGACCTGATGTAGATATTACTACCGGTAAATGAACCTTGAGTGAGTGAGTGAGTTGGTTTATCGACGCTTTTAACAGTATTCCAGGTATATCATGGCGCGAAAGCCCAGGTTTCAGAGTGAGTGAGTGAGTTGGATTTAACGCCGCTTTTAACATTATTCCAGTTATATCGCGGCGTGTCAGCTAATGTGGGAGGAAAGCCCGAAGTGATGCATGTCTCAGACGTTTACCACCTAGGTGAAACCCACGTGCACGGGTATGGTGCTGACAAACCTAGAAACATAATTGGGGCGAACCGGGATTCGAACCCACCCAGGTTTCAGACGTTTACCGCTTTAGTGAAACGTGATATGGGTCAATCGGGAGTCGGACCTACGATCATAGATTTCTGGCGTGCACAAAAGACGCAGCTCACATCGAATTGCGGCACCTTAGACGATTGTGCCGTCCATGCCTACAAACGTACATGACGTCAAGAGATAAATATTCAAATAACAACTCTACCATTTTAAACATCGATTTCAAACAAATGACCAAGTTCTTTGCTGATATCGTACCATGAAAACGCAGGTCACTGTGTTATGGAAGCTTTCTGAATACCCGATGGGTTCCTTTAAGCAATATAAAGTCTATTTATAATATTCAGATTTATTTTTGCGTGTTTCACACTTATTAAACAAAATAAACTACAGCAATCTTCTTTTCATACGTATTGATGTACATGTCATGTAAACAACATATTTATTTTCCAAGACTCTAGTTGTGATATATTTCCTTTTTTAATTACACCAATTAAGAAATTATGAATATATTGAGGAAGAAGAAGAAGAGGAAGAAGGAGAATTATATTTTTTCTTGGTAGCCGTGCAATCGGAACGTAATTCTTGTATTTCCGATTACAGTAAACTACGTTTATAACGGACACGCTTATAACGAACTGACCGATATGACAAACTTATTTTTTAGTCCCGGCCATGTGTTGTATATATGCTGTACATATGCTTATAACGAACTACGGATATTACGAACTAAAATTAGTTGTCCCTTTGAGTTCGTTATAACCGAAGTTTACTGAAGTGTGTATTGTTAAATACGCTGCGTCTCGTAACCGGAACTTTAGTGTTTGTGCTAGGAACGATTATTTGGTCCTTCACAAGGCATTCTTAGGGTAGGAGGACCGCCTCCGTGTTCTAGTGGTAGAGCCTCCGCCCGGAGAGCGGAAGGTCCGGGGTTCGATCCCCGACCGCGTCATACCAAAAGACGTTAAAAGATGGTACTTGTTGTTACCCTGTCTGGCGCTCGGCATTAAGGGGCTAAAACAAGGTCTGGTCGGCTCGGAGTCAGTATACTGTGTCTGAGTGGGGTATTCATGTTAGTTAAACTGCAGCATGGTATCTCAGTGAGCTAGCACTATAAGCAGCCACACACACACACACACGTGCATGCACGTCGCTATATAAGTGCAATAATCTTGGACGCGACGTTAAACCCCATTTCACCTCACCTCTTAGGGTAGTTACGAATGCTGCAGTTGATTGACCTGTTAGGACACTCTGTGATCGGGGATGACCTCCCTTGGCACGAGGTGGCAGCACCCATGCGTTATAACATTCCATGACAGGGTGGCAATCGATGAGATTGCTTTGGTTTTACGTAAGACTGTATAATAGCTGCTGTATTCCGTGTATTAGGAAATATCGATATATAATGAGGTGAGGCCAGACATCCTGCACGGCTCTAGGCGGCCATCATACACTCAACGGCGATAAGAATCACCACGCTACTGTCTACTATTTGAACAAGTACCGCTCGTGTAATTTTTATTGAACTATTTATGTCTTAAATGCAGATACTGAGCTTAACCGATTGCCAATAATACTGTCTGTGTCATTATCGATATTGGTTTTATTTAAAGCAAATCGTTTGAGACTATCTTACAAATGTGTTTTTTTTCGAACGAGTGATATTGTTTTGGTTAAGTCTAGATCACGATGTACTGGAATTGTGTTCAAGAGCAGGGATTCGCCATCACTGATCATTGATTCGACTCAAATTCGTCCCGATAATGATCTTTGTTGTGTTTGAATCAAGTTTACTAGTCTCGGGACTAGCGACTAGTTCCCATGTCTAACCCTGATTTGGACGTAGGGGCACGGTTGGCCCCGTCGTCTAAGGCCCCTAGTTCTCTTTGCAGGGTTGCGTCCCTTGGGAACACCATACATGTATATTGGTGTGTCAGCACCTTAGCTTGTTCTTGGGTTTCTCCAAAGCGGTAAACGTCTAAGACAAGTATTATTTCTGGCTTTCCTCCAACAAAACGCTGACACGTCGTGGTAAGCTGTGTTAGTTGTCAAAGCGGCGTTAAACCCAACTCACTCAATCACTCACTCTCCGAATAAGACGTAGCAAATGTTCACTTACTAATTTGTCGAGAACCTTAAGAAGTTCCAAAGGGTGAAGCAGCATCACCTCATCATGATCTGGACCCACCTGGTGTTCTTGACAGTGCCATTATACATTGGTCCATCGTTCGAGTCACAAATTTGCTCCTTGTTTGAATCTGTGCCTTACAATAACATCTTCAAGAATTACATCATTCCTGTAAGATTCCCTTGTACTAACATTTCTGTGAATTGTGTTTTATGACGTTCTAAGCGTGCAAAGTTCCACAACATTGCCGCCAATATTTGGACATTTGAAAAGTCCTTTGCTTAACGTCATACTCCAATTTGAAAAGTCCATTTCTTTACGTCATAATCTTATTTGGTAAATTGGTTTATCCCAAATGCGTATTGCGCAGGTTCGGAAATTACCTGACCTTAAAAAAACAAGGTTTCTGGTTACGTAAATTGGTAGCCGTGCGACCGGGCATGCATACTGATAGATTGTCGCTATTCATTAACATTCTTAAGACTTTACAACCAACTCAGCGGCTGTTGTGGCGAGAGGCAATCGGGGGAGGGCAACACAGCTCACCGTCAAACATTGCTATTGAATTAACTCTTTACAACCTGCCGATTTACGATGACTTCAGAGGCTATAAATGTTTTCAAACCGCCACAGATCGCAGTGCAGAAAGGGGTTATGTTTTTTCTTCCAAAAGCGCTGACTTCGATTTCGCTGGTGTTTTGTGTTTGCTCGATGACTGTGAGTTGGCTAGTTGTGGAAATATTTTCATTTCAACTGTAATTTATATGAGTTTGATGAATAGCTGTAGTAGCCAGTTAGTCAGATCTGTAGGAGGCAGCATGATATCAGGGCATTATCAAGTTACAGTGACCCGCTCATTTTTTATAACAAGCGGGCGGTTTAATGATAATTCTATTCATTTTAGCTATAATGTTTCGTAAACCTCGAACAGGGTGATGCAAATACTGGCAGTATATTTTTGTTTGTTTGTTTGTTTGTTTGTTTGTTTCTTTGATGTTTAACGCCGCACTCAGCAATATTTGAGCTATATGACGGCGGTCTGTAAATAATTGAGTCTGGACCAGGGACTGACATCATGAGCATCGATCTACGCAATAAAGATACGATGACATGCATTAACCAAGTTAGCGAACCTCACGCAGGGGTAGAAACTAACATATTTAGTCCACTAGTCCTTATAATGATAACATATAGCAAAACCCTTAAAATTGCACATTTCTACTTGTCCTTATGATACCTTTACTATTGGCCAGTTTGGCAAGGACTACAGGAATAGTGCCGATTTCTGACGTTGACCTGACCACCAGGGCCCACTTGCACAAAGCGATCTTAGCGCTACGACTATTGTAAGCCTATGTTAAAGTACGGGAGTTCCGATCATCTTAGCGTTAAGATCGCTTTGTGCAAGTGGACCCAGATCCCGTGCGTCGCCTCTGACGACAAGCATGGGTTGCTGAAGATCAATTCTTAACCCGTATCTTCACTGGTCTGAACCAACACAATCCATGCCTAGTCAGCTCATACACTATTATAATAAATTACATTACATTACAAATTACAATGAAATGTAATGTAATGTGATATAGTGTAATATTTAATAATAATGTATGAACTGACTAAGCATAAATTTTGTTGGAGTACGTTTTTAATGTACATATAACCTAATATTATTAATATAAAACGTCAAAACCGGAGAATAACCAGTCTCTTTTATCCGCCGAAATAGATTACATTGGGCGTAAAGGGCAAGATAGCGATGGCAAATATAAGAAAATGATTCATGCAAATTATTAGAAAAGGATTATTTGGATGTGGTTTCAAGGCCCTTTTGGTCACTAGATTTGACAAATATCAAAGTTCGAAAATCTCTGAAAAAGGGTGATACAATTTGCAGTTGTGCTCATATAACAGCAATGCTTGTTACATTTAACACCTATTGAGGTCGTTACCACGTCGCGTTATACGTGGCGTATAACATTCCAGATCTATACTCGTGTGAAAGGGCTGATGTTAGGACATTAGAGTGAGTGAATGAATGTTATTTTAGGCTGCAATCAGCAATAAACAACAACAATGTGTGGCTGATCCACAATGAGTGAGTGAGTGAGTGAGTTGGGTTTAACGGTGTTTTAAAACAGTATTCCAGTTATATAACGGCGTGTCAGCTCAATGTGGGTCTCAGACCTTATTGCTTTGGTGAAACCCAAGAGCAAGGGTAAGGTGCTGACAAAACTAGAAACATAATCGGGACGAACCGGATTCGAACCCACAATCAAAGGTTTCTGGCGTGTTCAAGGGACGCAACTCTGCACAGCGAATCGCGGCGCTTGAGACAACTGGGTCACCCGTGCCCATTTCACCACACTCATCTTATACTTTGTATTGTTTTTTCCAGATTTCGTAAGAAGGGCGAGAAGATCCTGCACAGTAAATACATCGTCATCTTTGTCATCATCCTGACCATCACCGACTGCGCCCTCGTCATCGGGGAGCTTATCCTAGATCTGTACAGTGTTAAAAGTAAGACGACCAACACATTTTGAGGATGCAACACGACTCCACCCCACCCTGAATCCTAAATACCATCTAATATGTTAATCTGAGTCTCACTTGCTCACCCCTGAATCCCGAATACCACTGAACACAAATCTCAAAAGCACATGTCAAATTCACTACAAAGGCAGAGCGAAAATGGGTCCTATGTCATATTTGGGTGTAACTTTAGGCTCCCTTAGACAATGTGTACAACCTACAGTAAACTACGGTTATAACGAACAAGCTTTTAACGAACTACGGTTATTGCGAACTACGGTTATAACGAACTAAAAATAGTAGTCCCTTTGAGTAAACTACGGTTATAACGAACTCAAAGGGACTGCTATTTTCAGTTCGTTATAACCGTGGTTTACTGTATATGCTGAGTGCGGCGTCAAACAAAAGCAAATATTTACCTTTGTATGTACGTCAAGGTGTTTACTTGACATGTTTGTACATGTGTATTCACATATTGTTGTTTGTTGTTTAACGACACGACAATCCGGTGATCGATATTGTGAGCAACGATCCACGTCATCGGGGTGCGACACACAAAGTTATAGAGGCTGACCATCCGATCCATCTCGTGGCGTCTTACGACCAGCATAGGTTGTTGGGGACCTATTCTAACCCTATTCTAATCCCCTTATGTAAATGTGCGCACATGGGGGACACCAGAAATGTGCTTCACACATTGTACCCATGTCGGGAATCGAGCCCGGGTCTTCGGCGTGACGAGCGAACGCTTTAACTACTAGGCTACCCGACCGCCCCCGCACATGTGTGGACGGGGTATTAGGTCATGCGAATGGGGTATTTGGTCATCAAGTATTATTTTGCGTGTTTCTCATTTCCATGCATGCTTACATATTTAAAAATATGAAAGATTTTTTTAAAATAAAAAATAAAAACAATCTCCATACTTATGATCAATCAGCACCAGGGGCAGCGGTTGCTGAAATAATGAAAACTTAAATTAAAAAGCGTATATTTGAGAAAACAACAGACACATATTCTACTGCTTAAGAAATATGGTAATGGGTTATAATTAGCAGGTTCATAGTTACTGTATCATGTTCAAAGTACAATGTATATCAGCTCTGTTGAGAGCGTTAATGACGAAAAAACGGAGGGTGTTCAAACGGTACGAAATAAAGCAAATTGAATAAATAACGTTTCTTTTTTGGGGGGGAATATGCTTATGATATTATACACGGTGGGTGTTTTTAAGAAACAGGAAATTCGTCATTATTTTTCCAGGGCGGAGTAATGCATATATATATATATATATATTTGTAAGTGAAACGGTAATTTAGAACTGGCGGTAAACGACAAATATGCAAATTAATATTAATGACGACATGAAACTTCTTATTGATAACAACTGATTACGAAGAAGCACTGAAACAGCGTTCTCGTACGTGCAACATTGGGGTAAAAAATGCTTAAATGTTTTCCGGTACAATCTTGAAATATTCTCAAATTCCAAGATAGTAAAAAAATTCATATTAAGATTTTTCAGCCTCTTATATATGCATTTTGTTAGCTTGGCTTTAGCTATTTGGCGTTGTGTCGGACTTCCAGTCTTTAAGTGGATGTGGTATTATCGTCTCCCTGACAATCGGGTATTTGGAACCTGTACCCGCCTATACTCGGTTGTCGACCCGTGAAGATCCGGGGTAGAATAGGTCTTCAGCAAGCCATGCTTGCCGTAAAAGACGACTATGCTTGTCGTAAAAGGCGACTAACGGGATCGGGTGGTCAGGGTCGCTGACTTTGTTGATGCATGTCATCGATCCCAATTGCCTGGATCGATGCTCATGATATCAATCACCGGATTATTTGGTCCAGACTCGATTATTTACAGACCGCCGTCATATAGCTGGAATATTCCTGAGTGCGGCGTTAAACAGCAAACCAACCAACCAATTGCAACTATACTCGGTTGTCAGGGAGTCGAAAAGAATGGGCCCACCACCGTCAGTTAACAGAAGCATATGGTTCTGATCACGTGGTTACAATCCGGGTAAAAATCGAGTGAGGTTACCACGATTGTTTATATTTAACAGTGACCTTGACCAATAGCGTTTTAAATATTAATAATCAGCGCGTTTGTTTCTTTCAGTTCGTGATGGTTACGTACGTACGCTGCACATACTGCTAAATATATATCCGCCCCAAGTCACCTGACTTCCGATCCTTATTCGGATTGTAACCACGTGATAAAACATCAATGATGACGTTTATCGCTAAGAAAATGGACGCTTGAAAAGCGCACTTTGCAATATTTATCATTACTGTAAGTAATATACCTTATCGGCGGGATGGCTTCTTTTCACTTCATAAGTATCAGCACACATGCAGCTATCTTCCTTAATTAATCATCGCGATGATTCGTTTTTCAAGTCTATTACAGAGAAACACAGTAAGCACAACCATAAGGGATTAGTCGAAACAGCCTGTCACAAAGGCATGTATATAGAGGCGAAAAAATTGTTTAAACGATCCTGGAATATAAGAATATTCAGAACATTCCAAGATTGTACAGGAAAAATCTGTAGATTTCTTTTACTCCTTACGTAACAGCGTTTCCAAGAATACTTTTCCATAAGAGATTTCACGTCTTCGTGTTCTTGGAACTTCTAAAATCCAAAGCTGTAATATAGTTGGCCTGCTTAACTTTAACCTTATAGCTAATACTAGAGTTTTTATCTACGTACACTTTCATAATCCTTTATTTTCTCGATAACGACGAATATTCATTGAATGACCACCCTCTGAATCTCTTATAATAATAGACTGGGTAAATGTCAGACTCGGGGAAGATTAATTTTCTGGACATTTTGATCAGCGACTGTGAGAGTTAATGTATCTGGTATTGGATTTTATCAGCCTGTGCTTGGAGAGAGTGTCAGTCAGTATTCACCTCCTGTGGATGTGTTTAACTCGGTACGTCTTCGTTATCAACAGACGATGGGTCAGCAGCATCCCCACTGCACAGGACAATCAGTGTCCTGTGCTGTTGATGAAGAGAACGGGCTTATTTTGCCGTCTTGTTGCAGAAGATGCAGATATCATCGGACGTACAACGAACGCATTGAGGATAGTAATTACACGACCAATCTTTATTGCACGTTAGGATGACATTTCAGAAACACAGATCATGTCATGTTCACTTGTAGATTAAATTTTAATCGAAATTCGTGATGAAAAATTAATCTATTTGTGATTTCTATCTCCTGATTAAGCCATCAAAAAGATTAAATTTAAACATGCTGATTTTTTTGTAACAATAAAATCCTGAACAAAAATGGTACCGTAATGTTCGAGTCTCCTCGTGGCATCTCATCACCATTCAATATATAGAATATTTAATTTGATAAATAATATGCCTGTCCATGTTCGGCCAATTCGTTTATCTGCGTAGCCTAACTACATCTATGGGGAACAACTTACTTGACCCATCCCTCTTAAAAATAACGTCGTCCAATATATGACATCATTAAGTTGCGAGCGCATATTCAAACTCCAGAAATGACGTCATGGTAGAACAATGTTTTATCGTGAAATAAACCACGCTTCGTTCTTCATTGTTCTTTGCGATTTATCGCGTAGCTATCTTATATACTGGGATAAAATAAGTCACTTCAGTTCTCATTTGGTTCACATGAATTTGACTGGAACCATATTGGACATGACAAATTATTATTGATTACCGGAGTGCAACTCGCGATTTGGTGAGTTCATAACAGCTTGGCATGGAACCTTATTACTGGTATTTAAAAGCATCTGAAAACCGGCTCAATATGGCGACCTATCAACATGGCGGCCCCGGTCTTATAATACCGCCCTCACACTTTATGCTTCAGAAAACGCTAATTGCAAAACAAATGGAGATACTGCTTTCAGCACGACTACCTCAAAGTGAAGTTAAAGATCAGTAGTTCCAGTACTGGCTGTCAATTTAAAACACTTCCTATCACGCAAAATAGAGGTCATTGTGACATCTGTGTGTTTGTGTCGGGCTGTTTGGGAAAAAGAAAAATCAATCTGATTTAATTCATACCGCATCTCATCGTCTCGTGACTGCTAATACATTTAAGGCGTTTCCTAGACGGACATTTAGTCCCAGAAATGCAGTCGTCTTATTAAAGAATAATAGACATATATATGTATAATCCAAACGGAGCCCAGAACGATGCTTGATTTCAGAAACAATCTAGACTTGCTAAATCACATTGGACTTGAGCTAGTATATTTTTGTAATATATTCTCTAGGGTTCGGGAGACTGGCAAGATGTTTCCCAGCCACGCTAAATACCTTATGCCATACTTACTTGTATCTAGGATAGGGTATAACCATATAACTGTTGACCTTTTTTGCACTGCCAAATAAATGTCATAATTGTGGTTTGGTTAACATTAATGATATTAGTACTTTTAAAGATGATACATTTTTAGGAATTATTATCGAGCGAGGAAAATAATATGGGTACCACTGTAGACTCATAAAGTAGAGTATAACGGGTCTTATCATCTCGGATAAATGCCCTTGAGTATGGTTAGTGAGTGGACCGGGTTTGATTTGTATTTCAATTACAGTAAAGTACGGTTGTAACGAACACGCTTATAACGAACTGACGGATATAACGAACTTACATTTTTGGTCCGGACTATTTGCTGTAGTTATGCTGTATATATGCTTATAACGAACTACGGTTATAACGACTAAAATTATTAGTCCCTTTGAGTTCGTTATAACCGTACTTTACTGTACTACGAAGGGCTGCCTTATACCACTAGGCCACACGTGTCCCCTTTTGGATGATAAGTATTTAAGTGCACCGTATTATATACACAGTATACGCGAAGACCTTCACGGTTTAGGTGTAGATGTGGTTTATATTAGAGCAGCACAAATGGTCCAGTGTCATAAAGGATCGCTAACATCTACACAGTATTAGCTGCCAAGATCCGCTTCCTGTTTGTTTGAATCCAGTTTTCGACCTGAGACCCATGATCCAAGATGGTAACGATCCCGAGCTGCAGTGGATTCATTCGGGCTTACGAATCTCCATCATAAGGTGGTCTAGCGGATAGAGCATCTGCCCAGTGGGCGAATTCCCCGGCCGCGTCATATCAAAATACGTCAACAGATTGGCCTTGTTACCCTGACTTGCGCTCGGCGTTAGGACACCAAACGAGGACTGGACGGCTCGGAGAGAGCATACACTGTCTGTGTGGGTATCCATGTTAAACTACAGCATGGTGTCTCAGTGGACTAGCATTTAAAACAGGAATTAGTCCGGACAAGTATAAACAGGACCAACGTGCATGCACGTCGCTATACAAGTGAAATAGTTGAACGTTAAACCCCATTTCGCCTCACCTCACCATTAAGCTATCATTCCGTGATGCGACGTAGCTCGAGCATGCGTGGTGGCAAGATTAGGCAAGGAAAGTTAACCCTTCCTTTTAAACCCGGACAATCTGGACATTCACATAACTTGGCATTCATCAAAACCGGATTTTCCCCGGACCAGTAATGAAATTAATGATCGCTTTCAAAGAAAGCCTCCGCGTGTCACGTTCCAAATTATGACTGTGTTGTTATGGGTTTGCCTAAAGACATCGCGGACAATCAAAACCAAGCGAAGGATGTTCTCATAACAATTGTCTATTGTATAGCTGTTACGCCAAACTAGCTACTTACTGAATTAATCAATCTGAGTAATGCATACACCGGGTGTGAGGAAGGCAGGATGGCGGAGAACATTTGGCTATATACACCTACTGGGAATAATCACATGAAATGTGAGCACCATCACATTTACTCCCTAATAAGAGTGTGATATATAGTGCCCGGGTGACGTCATAGCATAACATGCACGTCATACCGGCGAATTATCGCGAACTCGCTCTGTTTATCGACGGCCACTTCCGGTAGTTAGGCGCTAATTACCGGCTGTTTTATCTGAAATGACAACGCGAGTGGCAGTTTATTTCGATCAGAGTTAAAAATAGAATGTTCCCCATCGTCCCGGCCAAGACATTGACACAATGTTGATGCACACTTCAGTATTTCTAGCCCCTGACTGCCACAGCTGCTATTCACATGACGAGGTCATACATTGCTAGACCGCATCTTTTGTCATGGGAATAGAACATCTGCTGGCCGGAGAGCGCATCTCGGCGGATCAAATCCCGGCCGCGTCATCCAAAGACGTTAAAATATGGTATTTGTTGTTACCCTGTCTGGTGCTCGGCATTAAGGACTGGTCGGCTCGCGTTCAGTATTCTTTGTTTGAGTGGCGTATTCATATTAAACTGCGATATTGTATCTCAGTGTAGTTGCGCTATGAAATCGACATTAGTCTGGACTAGTATAAGCAACCACACACGCACGTGTAGATAAGTGCAATAATCTTGGACGCGACGTTAAACCCCATTTCATCTCACCTCACACTGTCTGCAATAACGCGATGCAACACGGAACCACAGTGAGCCATCATTCGCTAATTACAGAGTGACCTTCACATGCGGTTATTGCCACAGATGACGAATAAACTTATTGGAATGTGCTACCGTAGTTGAAATATAATTGTAACACGTTGCGGAGCTGTTGGCGGTTTTGACGGAAACTGATTCTGTAATCCCCCAACCAATCTCAAATACGTCATATCGTGTGCCCGTGGCTAGAAAACCTCGCATTGAAGGTCATGGCTATTGTTCGGGGTAACCAAGACAACAGAACATCACCATTTGTTGTAAATTAATGTCAAAAGAAAGTTGTAAAAAAGGCTTCAAAATGAAAGACATTATGGTTGCAAAATTCTTACTACGCCTTTCACTTTTCACAATTATGTGAAGGTAATTAAACGATTCTGGAAAGAATTGACTATTTATTTTAATACACTTCTGGACGTAAATATATTTTGTGCTGACTTTGCAATACTGTTGAGACTTAAAGATTGTATTCACCATGTGGCTTTAGTTGCTAAAATGTATATTTGCATCTGGAGTATCCAAGGAAAAAGCTTGTCTTTGGAAACGTTTGTGAAAATTATCAAGGATACAGATAGTTGAAAAAATGTATTGCCGTGAAAAAATGATAGTATTACAAAAAGGTTTGAAAGAAAATGGCCTGTGGCGGAAAGATACAAAGCTTCTTGTTACTCCCGTGAATGCCCTGTGCATAATTGTTTGCATGCCAGTTGAAATTAATAAAATTAAATAAGAGAAATCGTTGCAGGAAAACGTGGCACATCTAGCTGGTGACGATTTACAAGTTGGGTGGTGAGGTAGCTTAGTGGTTGAATCGTTAGCTCGTCACACCGAAGATCTGGTTTCGAATCCCGGTTCGCCCCGATTATGTTTCTAGGTTTGTCAACACCATACCCGTGCTCGTGGGTTTCACCGAAGTGGTCAAAATCTGAGACCTGCATCACTTCGGCCATTCCTCCCACATTAAGCCGACACGCCGTGATATGACTGGAATACTGTTAAAAGCGGCGTTAAACCCAACTCACTCACTCACTGTCTTGAAAAAAAGACTTGGAACCAAATGTCCAGTTTAGGGTGAATTTTAACACGTGTTTCTCTTTTCCCAGAGACTCTGAGGACCAATTCCGATCGGACTAAAGGTTTCGTGGACAACATACGAAACAAATACCCGAGAGAGTTTTCTCCAGGATATATTGACGTGGATGCATTCTATAATAGGATAGTAGCTGCTAGAATTATGTGGAGTTCAGTGGAAAACATAACGGCCGCGGAATACCTCAACACAGGCAATGACTCCCACCAGACAGGGGGCGCTCGCGAACGGCGGGAAACACAAGGTGCTTATTTCACAGAGGGAAATTACGGGAGCTTTAATATATCCAATGACAGCGCAATCAGTGATCACGTGACGTCTGCTGGATACAAGCAGCACCACGATGAACACTCTCGGGAGACTCAGATCGCCCATAAACTTCATTATGCCAGTCTTTGTGTGCTATCTATTCTTCTAATTGAGGTAAGCATTATTTCTTTCATAACAATAAGCATTTTTTATTTACATGCCTACTCGTGTATTTGGGTCAGATTAGGTCAGTGGCATCCCTACCCGGGAACATGGATGACCCAGTCGTCTGAGACGCCGCAATTCGCTGAGTTGCGTCCTTTAGGCACCCAAGAAACCTGAGATCGTTGGTTCGAATCCCGGTTTTTTTTAAAAATTTATCAGCACCATCCCCGTGCTCGTCATCTTCCCGAGGCGAGGGAGTTAACTGACTACAAAAGTGGAAACTGGAGTTTAAAGTCAGTTAACTCTCTTGCCTCGGGAAGATGGTGCTCGTGTGTTTCTTCAAAGTGGTAAGTACATGTGAGATGAGGTTAGGTGAAATGGGGTTAACTTTATGAAGATTGTTGCACTTACAGTAAACTATGGTTGAAACAAACACGCTTATAACGAACTGATGGATATAACGAACTTACTTTTTGGTCCCGACTTTTTGCTGTAGTTATGCTGTATATATGATTATAACGAACAACGGTTATTACGAACTAAAATTAGTAGTCCCACTGAGTTCGTTACAATTGTAGTTTACTGTATATAGCGACGCGCATGCATGTGTGTGTGTGTGTGTGTGTGTGTGAGTGTGAGTATGTGTGTGTGTGTGTGAGAGAGAGAGTGTGTGTGTGTGTGTTTGTGTGTGTGCATGTGAGTGTGCGTGTGCGTGCGTGCGTGCGTGCGTGTGTGTGTGTGTGTGTGCGTGTGCGTGCGCGGGTGTCCGAGCCGACAAGTGCTTGTTTTAGCCCAATGATGCCGAGCAACGACAGGATAACAACAGGTGCCATCTTTTAACATCTTTTGGTATGACGCGGCTGGTTATCGAACCGCCGACCTACCGTTCTTCGGGCGGACGCTCCATCACTAGACCGCAGTGGCGGTCCGCTAAGTGCATGCAGGTTACCATTTTCAACATAGACAACGGTTTGGCATATTGATAAAGCAAAAAAATTGAACATTGAAGAAACTAATCATAATGTCCTTTTTATCTGTGTATTGTGGAATCAAACATCTTGTATCGACTCGGTGTTTGTTGAATATCGCTTAGATAATGTTCAACAAGTGTTATTCGCTATTTTTTTTAAATATTTTAATTTCCATTCATCATTCTAAATTCACAGAGCATAGCCAGATGCAATGCCTTTGTCGTGTGTCATGGACCTGTGTAAGTTTTTGTTTGTTCTAATCATGTTTATAGATTATAAGACTTGTTGAAACTGGAAGCCCTCTAATGAGTGATACAAGGTAAAACAACGAGATAGGCGTGATGTCTTGAGTGGCAATATCTTTTGGAGTTTTCTTGTCGATCTGACGATTCCGTTGCTAAGGATGACCTTTTGCTTAGACAGAAGGCATCTCAATGGCGAACATTTATCTCTTAAACTATGTGGAATGCGGTGATCTCAGTGTCGACTCAAGCGTTGAGTAAATGCTGATGGGGTTAGGGTTTCTTTTGGCCCAAATGCATCCTCTGTTTTCTTAGCTTCTTTAAGTATTGGGTGGTGAGTAGCCTGGTAGGTACAGCGTTAGCCTGGCACGGGTTCGATTCCAAACGTGAGGACCATTGATGCGCGTTCTTCACGCGGTTCAGTCATCATGCAGTCTCCTCACACGGTTCAGTTGTCATGTACTGTCTTCACTCGGTTCAGTTGCCATGCAGTCTCTTCACGCGGTTCAGCTGTCAGTCTCTTCACGCGGTTCAGTTGTCATGTCTTCACACGGTTCAGTTGTCATGTAATGTCTTCACTCGGTTCAGTTGTCATGCAGTCTCTTCACGCGGTTCAGTTGCCATGCAGTCTCGTTACGCGGTTCAGTTTTCATGCAGTCTCATGCAGTTCAGTTTTCATGCAGTCTTCTCACGTGGTTCAGTTGTCATGCAGTCTTCTCACTCGGTTCAGTTGTCATGCAGTCTCGTTACGCGGTTCGGTTTTCATGCAGCCTTATGCAGTTCAGTTTTCATGCAGTCTTTTCAATCGGTTCAGTTGTCATGCAGTCTTCTCACGTGGTTCAGTTGTCATGCAGTCTTCTCACTCGGTTCAGTTGTCATGCAGTCTTCTCACGTGATTCAGTTGTCTTGCAGTCTTCTCACGCGGTTTAGTTGTCATGCAGTCTCGTTACGCAGTTCAGTTGTCATGCAGTCTTCTCACGTGGTTCAGTTGCCTTGCAATCTTCTCACGCTGTTCAGTTGTCATGCAGTCTTCTCACTCGGTTCAGTTGTCATGCAGCTGCTTTGAACGGGAATTCAGTTATAATTTTAGGTGACAACTTAACTGTGGTAGGAGCCCTGTTAGTGAAACAAGCAAGCACGATTACAGTAATTATTCGATACGGCCTTTCCTGAATTTTACCGAAATATCGACAATGACAAAACCTTCAAATTCCTTGCCTGTGACAATTGAGCATATCATGTGAAGTTTATATAACTTTTGAAATATCTTTCCATTCACAACATCCGGGGTTTCTTGCTGAACCCTGGCTGGGCTATGGATCCAGCCACAGTCATTATGGGCTTGTCAGATAGGCTACGTGATTACTGCTGAAATGAAAGCAAGTAATTGCGTTCTATACATATATGTATATAATAGTCGTTCCGGACACGTATATGATGGGTCTTATATTTATCGATGCGTACGTCATATCCCCAGTTGACAATATAAACCCTTTACTAGGGAGTCAATGTGGCTGATTGATTTTTCGGATATTTTGAGAAAATGAAATAAATATCTTCTGATGTCAAGGATATATAGACTTTTCGGTGTTCATTCAGATGCAAAGAAACATCTTAAAAAATTTAACCGCTGCAAAGTTCTTGTGTACTTGCATCTTCTTCTACTGCAGAGAATTTGATTCTAATTGCAGGAATTGATTCTCCGGCTGCTTAAGAAAGTTTAGCCAATAGAATAATATTCCATCATATTCTCTAGTTTGGAAAAAAAGATAACATGATTTGTAATATCGTGTGTTTACGAACATGGAAAGTGACAGGGAACATTAATATGGCAATGGGGTTTTGCATCGAATATCAACTTCAAAACGGAATGTATTAGAACATCAATATACCACTTTCAAAGTCAAACATGATACATCAGGCAATTTGGAACGTTTTTTGGCCGAATCGTGTTTAATGGCGGCAATAAACCGGAAAGTTTAATACTTGTAGCCGGATTATTTACATCGTCGATTTTTCTGTCCCTTGGAAGTAATTTGACTGGTAAATCGAAGTCGATATGAAAACATTCTGAACTTGGGGCCACAGTTTGAAGACGGGGCAAGGTCAGACTACCGTTCTTTTTCGTCCTCTTTTCTAAGATCCTGTGCATGGTGTAGTTCGGGTTTTTTTAACCACTAGGCTACCCAAACGGCCCCAGTACTTCCCGAACGTTGCCCCAGTCGTCTAAGATGACGCAATTTGCTCTGCAGTGTTGCGTCCCTTGATCGTGGGTTCGAATTCCAGTATGCTTTGAGTTGCGTCCCTTGGACACCCCGGAAACCTGTACTCGTAGGTTCGAATCCCGGTTCGCCCCGATTATGTTTCTTGGTTTGTCAACACCATGCCCGTGGGTTTAATCAAAGTGGTAAATGTCTGACCTGCATCACTTCCGGCTTTCCTCCCACATCAAGCTGACACGCCGTGATATAAATGGAATGCTGTTCAAAGCGGCGTTAAACCGAACTCACTCGAGAGTATCCGGTTATTAGCTTTCCACGCCTTCTCTAGGTCACTAGATCTACTCATGCTGATTTTGTGTACGGTGAGTGAGCGACATTTTGCTTTGGCAGTATCATGGTGCCAGAAGTCGTGCACTTTAAAAACGAGCTTCACACATCAAACCTTTATAGTGAATAAAACTGGTGACGTTGTAATTACTGAGGGCACTGGTGCTATCCGCTGCGATTTGTTTGTTGTTTAGCGCCTATACTCAGCTATGTTCGAGATATGACGGCACAAAATCAGTCATCACCAGACAATCCAGTGACTGACATCATGAGAATCAATCCTCGCAATTTCGATACGATTACTTGCATCAATCAAGCCAGTGATCCTGACCCCCCGATCCCGTTAGTCGCTTCTTACGACAAGCAGGGTTGTTGAAAACCAATTCTAACCCGGATATTCACAGGTATGTAAGTTGAGTCTCTGACGTGCCAGAATCATATCATCGTGGGTTGGAATTCCAGATTTGCCCTAATTATGATTCTTGTACTGTCAGCACCATGCCTGTTGGTACGGTCGAGGCTAGTCTAACATCTAACACTTGGGGAATTCCTCTCACAGACGTTGATACGCCATGGCATAACTCCAATACTGTTAAAAGGGGCCTCAAACCAATGAAACAAACTATCTTTGTGTGACGGGCGAAGGCATTAGGCAATATTCCAGCAATATCACGGCTGGGGACACCAGAAATGGCTTCACACATTGTACCCATGTCGGGAATCGAACCCGGGTCTTCGGCGTGACGAGCGAACGCGTTAACCACTAGGCTACCCCACTGCCCCTATCTATCTAACTGAGAACGTCAGTTCGTTTTTTTAAACTTTCAAAGACAATCCTTTTTTTTATTGCGTGTGGCTGCAGGAAGGTCAATGGTCCAATCAGTACCAGTTGTGTCTGGTTCTGGCGATTGCACGCATATCTCGTGCCACGTGCTGATGTAGCTGAACATGCATCAAATAGATATAACGGATAATCACGTGACGTCTTTACTGAGGTTCGCCACATATACATAATTGATAGGCTCTATCAAGATACAGAGATACTGTAACTACTTGCCAGAGCCGCTTTCTCCAAAAGGCTCAGTCCCGTTATCTCCAGACCCTGAAAGGGACTCTTGGGACTGATTTGTTGATCTTGGTCACTCTTTAAACGCACGGTCAAGTCGTCTAAGGTCTGTGTGGAGCGATGGGGTTGATGCGTTCGTTCTTCACGCCGATGGCTCGCGTTCGACTCCCAACACGGGTAT